ATAAATCAAATTTTTAATTTTTTTAAAAAATTTAAAAATTATTTAATATTTTATTTCATTAATTTAAATGGACGGATAATTATAAAAGTATTTTATATATTAATAAATATTAAATAATTTTTAAATTTTTTAAAATTTTGTATATTTAATCTATGTATTAAGAAATTTAAATTTAATTTAAATTTAATGTAAAATATGAATTATTGAATATAATAAATTATCTAGAATAAATGGATCTCTCTTCACACAAAGACACAGATACATAGACATAAACACACACACACAGAGACAAACACAAACAGAAATACATAAACACAAACACAGATACACAGACATAGACACACACATAAACTAAAAGTGCCCCTTTTATAAGGCATTTTTTTATTATAAATTATTGTAGAATATTAAGTGTTCATATATTTACAATGATAGCTTTATATAGTACACCAACTTATTATGGTTATAAAATAGTATAATATAATTGACTCATCATTGTTCATTTAAAAAATTCATTGAATAGTAATATTATTATATTATTTAAAGTTAAATATGTTTTTTAATTATTAAATATGTTTTTTTAAGAACTTGAGATACAAGATAAAAAATATACCGAAGAGTTAGAAAAAGTGAAGAGCGTTCCTTTATATATTGATTGAGAATTTGTACATGCAATCCTATCATTTCTAAAATTATTTTATGATGTTACTTTGCATATGTCTGGTTCAGTTTATGTAATTAGCAATATGTACATGTTTGAGGTCTTTGGAATTAGAAAGAAGATAAGCTAAATGTGTAATTCTAGGGATATAAATGTATGCATTATGGCTGAAAATATGAATAAGAAATATGATAAGTATTGGAAGAATGTTGGTCGTCTAAATATGTTTTTACTTATTGCTCTTGTGTTGCATACATGATACAATTATAGTTCATGCATTGGTTGATTAATCAAAATTTTGATGGTGAGGTGGCATCTAGTTTGAAAGAAAAAGTGGAGTCTAATTTGAAATTACCTTTTCAAGAGTATAATAGTGGAAGAAATGAAGTAGAAGTTAACTCACAAGAAACTCGATTCAATCAGGGGGGTAGTGATGACCCTTATGGCTATAACCATTTTTTCTATTCCAAAGAACTAGCTCTAATAAATTTGAATTAAGCAAATACTTGGAGGAAGTCTTAGAATATAGTTATGGAGATTTGGCCAAACAACCTCATTTTCCACTCACTTTCCCTTCAAATCTCTCCTTTTCCACTCCCCCTTTTCCATCCTCAAATCCAAACAAAGCCTTATAGTTAATTGCCTCAAAGTGATAAAAAGTTTAAAAACAACTTCATTCTTATAATATGTTTTCATAATGACCTTAATTGAGTCAAAAAATTCTTGTGTGGTGTACAATTTTTTTTTTTAATGTCATTTGTTTTTGTGTTGAGAGTAAACATGACAGTTATATATCAGAGTACAAAAGGTACGAAGCATTGAAAATTTTAATTTAGAATAATTTAAAAAAAAAATTCAATATAAAAAACACAAGAAACTAAATACATGTCATATCAACACAAAAGACAACATTACGAAAACAAATTAACAAGAACAAAAAGGATTAAAAAGTTATAAATATAAAAACTAAAAAAATTTATCTTAAATTATAGGGTCTAAAAATATTAAAAAAAGATAAATATAACAATTAAAAAAATTATTTTAAAATATAAAAATTAAAAATTAAAGTAGGTGAAATTATAAGACTTAAATAAAACATTATAACATTTTTATTTAAGTTAATCACCTATATACTATCAGTGTAAAGATTTTTTTACACTGGCAACCAATTATATTTCTTAACTGTGCCATGTCACTGCTAAAAATAAATGTGTTTATAATAACATAACACAATTAAGAAATATAATTAATTGTCGGTGTAAAAAAACTTTATTACATTGATGATTAACTCATTTTATTTTTGGTCACAGAAAACGGGTTGCGGATATAAGTTAGTATTAGAACTGCATGGATCTCTTACTAGCCTTTCTGGATCATATCCTACTAGCCTTTCTGCTAGATTATCTATGCAATTACAATTTTTTTTTCTAGTTTCTCTTTTTTTAAGTCTAATTTCGTGCGGTCATTAGTTTTTGAACGTTTTTTTTTTTCTTTTCAAAGCACACCCTTTTATTCCAGAAATTAGTTTCTGAAATGTACAAAATAATTCTAAAATTAATTTTTTTGGAATATTAAAGAAAAGCAAAGGAGTAATAGTATAAATAAAAATACTCATTTGAGTCGTTTCGTGTGCTGGGAATAAAACATCCCAAGCCCATTAGTACACATAGCCCATATGTGAGATGACTATGTAACTGTCTATGTATTAAGAGTGAATACAGATGAGATCGTATTAGATTTGAGATATTTTTTTATTATGATTTGATCAAACATTAAACGGATAAAATTGGTTCGATTTTTCATTTTCATTTTTTTAATCTTGAGTCCGATTCAATTCAACCATGAAGCTTGGTTTGAATTTGGTCATTAGATTTATCATTAAAAGTCCTCAACTCAATATAGCTCTTAGGTTTTGTGTCCGCTTATATTGGAACACACTGCTATATGCTGCATCCACTAATGTAATTAATCAAGATTTAAGAATACATAAGCACAAAACAGTAGATTTAAAGACAGCAAGTTACAACAAAATGAGACAAAATAGAGCAACCACTCAGCTAATTGACAAACTAAGACAGATATACAACAGAACAGAGAGACAGAGCAAACAAACAATTTTCTTCCTTGCTCATCTTGGGTTGCTTACGCAATTCTAAACCCCTATATCAATCAAAGCTTTACTTCACTGTTAAGGTTGAGGCCGAAGAAGCATTAATCAAAGATGAAGATGGAGGAAGACAATGTCTTTGGCTACTACTTTTAATTGCCGAACCTCTAGGCAATGAAGAATTGGAGGAACCCTCGTACCTGCAGGACTGACTTCTCACTTTCCTCTTTTCTCCTTCCTGAACCCTCTCTGATGTAACTTGCGGAACCTTTGTGTCATTTAGTCCAGGGGGGAGAACACAGTTGCAAAGAAGACCTTCATGTAAAGGAGCACAACTTAAGAGTTAGGAATGCTTAGTAGTTGTTTTTGGCAGGGAGGGCTCAAAAATTTTGTTTACAAGGTGCACCCTAGGAACATCAGTTCACATAACATGTACATGTTGAATTGGGAAAGATATGTGTCGCATAACCAAAATTTAGATAAATCAGTAGATGTCTTAGAGCATTCCTCTTGTCGCTTTGTGCAAGGGGGTATATTGTGCCGAAGAAGCTTCTTCGTGAACACAATGAATTTATAGTTACAATCTATCAATTTAAAAAAAGGACAAAATTTAAATGTTGATCCTGGTGTTATTCTGTAATCCAAAACTAGTGTTTTACTTTAATAATCTAAGTTGACATTAATGCAAACCCTTACTATCCTCTAATTTTTATTGAAACCAAAAGCACATAACATCTATGTCCTATAAGTGTTTTTTTGGTACTGTTTTCTATCCAATTGAAATTTACCACGATAATAAAACTTTTAATTTTGAGTGTGAAATAACAGCAAAACACACGGAGCTGCATCAAAGTTGTCCTTAAAAAAATGATAATTGCAAGCTTTATTATATCCAACAAATTTAAAAATGAAAACCCTAATTAAAATACAGTAACAGGTATGAGAAGAAATAGATATAGTTAATGAAAAACGACGATGAGCCCAAAATAGGTGACATAGGAGTCTCGAACGGGGACAGGCGAAAAAACAAGGGATGGGAACAAAGTATAAAAGATAATAAATTTAGTTAATTAACGGTTGGTTACCAAGTCGAGCAAGACGGTTGACCCATCGAGGGATTGAGTTTGCCGTTAATTTGAGGCAAACATGATTGCAGAAGTGGTTGCAATTTTTGGAGATGAGATGATAGGTGTTGCCAGAGTACTCTTGAGCGAGCTTCTCCATGAACACCCTAACATCTTTGGGCCCCAGATCCGTTGTTCCAATGAAAATCGACTTTCTGAAAGTGAAGCCAGGGCAGTGTTTGGGTTGCACTTCAAAAATTCCCGTCGTGTCGTGCTCGTGGGCACCAAAACCATATTCAACACCATGAACTAGAACCCAAAAAAAAAAAAAAAGCATTTAAATGAATGGAATTAGTAACATTAACATATGGATCTGAATTGAAGAGTAAGAGGTTACCTTGAACTCCGGAATGGTAGACACCAAGGCCAAGCCAATAGGCATAGCCATTAATTGGAGTGAGATCATAGACGTTGAGGTAAACGGGGACGGTGCCAGGTTTGTGCTTGCGTGGCCCTGATACGAGCTTACGCAGCATTGTGTTGAGTAGAGGAAATGAAAGGAAAGGAATGGAAGAGAAAAAGAAGAATGTTATGTTGTATTCTATGGGTGTGCCTCCAGCCCTCGCATGGCATCTATCGGCGCCCCTAACTTCTTTTCTTTCATTCACCCACCTAAGCTTTTATTAATTATTATTATTATTATTCTCCTCTTCCTCTTCCTCTTCCTCTTACCTAGTGCTTACATCTCCACCATCTTAACAAAAACCTATCTTCCCTTCATTATGTCAGAATCCCCCACATTTAATAAAAACAAATTCAACCACTTTTTATTTTTATAAAAAAATATACTTTTCCTCCCTTATATTATTTATTAATGTTAATTTTATTTTATTTTAATTAATTAAATTAATTTAGTATCACATTTTTGAAATATATTTTAATGTTTAACTTCTTATTTCTTCTGTTTAAATACTTAATAAACGTGGCACGTGTCTTATCATCATGTTACGCATCATGTCACGTGTCATATCATCATATCACGTGTCAGATCTGTTAGTATTTAAACGAAAGAAACAAAAAGTTAAATATTAAGATATATTTTAAAAATGTGAAATTAAATTGATTTAATTAATTAAAATATGACTAAATTGACACTAATAAATAATATAAGGGATGAAAAATGTATTTTTACCTTTAATTTTAATCTCTCTACATTTTTTTCATATAACCGTCGCAAAATCGTCATTTTCTTGTAGTGATATTTTGAATTGTGGAAGCTCAACTCGGGTAGATTTCCAATTCTTGCAAAAATGGCTAGAGATTTGCTTGTTATACCTATTTCTACAATGGCCTTTAAATTTGTCTTCAGTATTGGAGGAAGATTTTTTGATCTGTATCGCAATTCTCTTACACCTAAGCTAGATTTATTTTATTTGCATTATTGTATTATATGCTTATTATAATTTGATCAATAATTGATAACTATTTTTTTTCATTTTACAGCAATTGTTTCCCACCAGACATTGCTTATTTAGCCTACTCTGTTACACTTGGTGATGATTGAAGATGGATTATTTAATTAACGATATGATTTAGACATTGTAATTCTTGTTATGACTCAAGTCACTTTGAATTAATTGGTAGATATTTTAGTGGATATAATATGACCATAGTGATTACTTTGTGGATATTTTGGTGTGACTCAAAGCCAATTGAGCAAATAGTTGGTGGAATATTTTAAATTAGATATTTTCAAGTTTCTTTTAAGAATTAAGATATATATTGTAATTTTTGATAGGTGATGTGAGTTGTTTACGGATGTCTTTATTTTTTCATGTTATGATCTATTCCTTTTACTTTTGTGGATGGACATCACATGTATGATGCAAACAAGAATTAGTGGTTTAAAAAAATCTGGTTTTAAAAAAAATTGGTTGAAAAATTTGTTTAAAAAAGTTGGTAAGAAAATTTTATTTAAAAAATTGGGTTAAAAAATAGCTTTAAAAACTAGGTTAAAAAATTTGGTAAAAAAAATATGATTTAAAAAAACTACTTTACAAAAATTGGTTTAAAAAATTGGTTAAAAAATTGGTTTTAAAAAACCAGTTTTAAACCAATTTTCATCTGATCCATTTTGGAAACAAATTAATCCATAAATCCGAATCAAAATTGGTTCGAAATTGACCTCTTAATTAGGTTTAGTTCAAAACCAGATCAGTAAACTGGGTCAGATCGAAATTCACTAATCTAATCCATTTAAAAACGGATCAGATCAGTTTGGATTGATTTTTTAAAAAAACTGATCCATGCACACCCTTACCTTTTACTAATGAAATTATGGAAGCACCACTCCCAAGGGGGTGGAAGAGCTTGGGATTGGACAAGTATGACACCTTTGACCTAGATGATCATGTTAACTTGTATGTCTTTTATGTTAGCATGTTCACCAATACTGATGCAATCATGTGTTGATTAATTAAGGGAGCGACCCTAAGATGGTCTACCCATCTTCCACCCCATTCGGTCAAATCCTTTTGGTAATGGTCTCTTAGTTCACAATGCAGTTTGGTACTAGTCGACCATATGCCATGATGTTGGCAGCTCTTATCAACATCAAGCAAGGTAAGGATGAGTCTCTCATGGCCTTCATGACAAGTTTGGGAAGATGCCTTTTGAAATCCCCAACTTGGTCAAGGAGGTTGCTCTACATCAAATGTTGTTAGCTTTGAGGTAGGGCCTTTTTCTTGATAGTTTATACAAGAAATTGACACTTTCCATGGAAGAACTTCGTTGTAGAACGACAAAATATATGCAGATGGAGAAACTTGTCAAGTTTAGAGAATGTTTCAGTAAAGAACAAGGTAAGGAAAAGACAAAGTCAAAGGGAGATAAGAGAGAAATGAACCGATCTAGGTGCATGAAAAAACATAAACTACCTCAATACTCTTAGTACACCCCTCAAAATGATAGTCGTTCAAGATTTACTCATTAAGTATATTCTTTTTAATTATGTCTTTAGTTTTTCATCTTTTAAAAAATCAATTTTTCTATTTTATTAGTAGATATTCACTTTTAGTTTTTTTTAAAAAATGATCAATCTTATTCCCATAATTATTGTTTATCATTATTTTTAATTTTTCTCATTAAGTATATTATTGTTAAATGATAAGTTAATAACGACATCAATAATCATATGACTTCTCATTAATAACTTGACGTCCTTACTAATTGTTTGTAATTATATTTTATTTTTCTCATTAAGTACATTATTGTTAAGGCGATGAGTTAATATCTACATCAATAATCATATGATTTCTTATTAATAACTTGATGTCCTTAATAATTGTTTGTAAATTTTCTTTTAACTTTTCTCATTAAGCATATTATTGTTAAGTGATGAGAAATAACCACATTAACAATCATATGACTTCTCATTAATAATTTAACGTAATATATGCATAATAAAATGTTGTTGGTTTGATGATTTTATGACTTCTCATAAATAACTAAAGACTTAAATATGTTCTTAATTATTCAAATTTAAGATAAATTTGTTTTCGGTTTCTCAAATTTAAAATTATTATTTTTAGTTCTTGTAATTTTTAAAAATCTTGTTTTAGTCCTTCAGGTCACCAATAACATATCTGAAAGTGACTAGTTAAGACGAGTATGCAATATCAACTAGATTTAATATGACATTTTTACTAATAGGGACATCAATACGTAGATTTTATGCAATAATATTTGATAAATTTCTTAATAAAATTTGAATATAAGGACTAAAACAAGATTTTTAAAAATTACAAGAACTAAAAATAATAATTTTAAATTTAAAGGACCAAAAATAGATTTATCTTAAATTTGAGGGACTAAAAACATATTTAAGTCATAACTAAATATATACATAATAAAATATTGTTAGTTTGATAATTATTTTAATAGTTCTAAGGTGCTATAAATTTTCTAGATATGATAATAACTCATCAGGTCATAATTAACCTAAAACACAAACATCACGGATAAGCAAAATCAAAATCACAAAATCATCCGATCTATGATTTAAAATTAATTAACCTTCAATCAACAATTCTCCATTTACAAACAACTTATTGGTCATAAATAGGGATGACAACGGGGCGGGTCGGGTACGGGTTTCATGATACCCGTCCCCGTCCCCATACCCGTCAGGTATAGATTTTCATCTTCCTCTCCGTCCCCGTCGGGTATCGGGTATACCCGTACCCATACTCATACCTGTTAATTTTTTTATTTTTTATTTTTGTAAAAAAATCATATTTTTAAATTATTTTTTTATTATATTATAATTATAATTAGGTTATTTTTTTTATCTTATATTATAATAAATAATCACACATAAAAAAATATTAAATTTTTTTAATATAATTAAATTGAAAGTGAGTATTAAATTAAAAATGAGAACGGGGACGAGTACGAGGCGAGTAAGTACATACTCGTACCCGATTTAATATATCGAGTTTTACCCATACCTGTACCCGTACCTGGTCAAATCGGATATTCCCTGTCAAAGTCGGGACGGGTTCAGGTATTACCCGCGGGTACGGATATGTTTGTCATCCCTAGTCATAAATTAATGTAAAACACAAAAACAACACGGATACAAATCAAAATCACAAATTATTAAATCTATGAATCAAAATTAATTAACCTAAAACACAAATAACACATAGACTAATCATTAAACCTATTGTACCATATAAGTCTCAAACTCACGAAGACCTACTATTAGTTCTAGGCCTAGTACTCAAAGAAGGTCACCATAATTATGTAGCGTGGATTTGGATAATGCTTGTCTTGACCAAACAGAGTATTCATATATCTTTTGGGTCGAAGAGTACTTATCTTACTAAATAACTTCTTTCATGACTAAGTACATGTTTGGATATTCATTTGCACATTTGTAAACTGAAATTCCCTCTTTCCAATGCATTAAAATAAGAAGTAACATTTTGTAACTTCTCTGTATAAGTTTGGTGAGTTTAAACAATAAACCAAACACGTTGTAAGTCTAGTAGAACGCAACATTCGACCGTTAAATCATTAAAAGATTTTGAATACGATAATATTTTTTTTCTCATATATATATATATATATATATATA